GAAAGTTGAAAAAAATAATCAATATTCATTAACCTGATGTTTTTTTTTTGGGGGGAAGGGGTAGGAACCAGGCCAAATAAATCTGATTTTTTTTTCATTTGCCTTTTTTTCCCGTGAAAAACATTTTGAATTCATTTTGTTTTTTTTGAGAATCAGCTAAGAAGAAGAAGAAAAAAAATGTAAATTACTTTTATGCAAATGAGAAGAAGAATTGTAACCAAATAAAAAAAAGTAAAAAAAACTACAAATACAAATACAAATATAACACTTGTATAATCAATAATCATCATCATCCTCATTATTTTAATTATTATTTACGAATTTATCTATAGAATAATAACAACAACAACAAATGTATGATATTCTTGAGTATAGACTAATGAATTGAATGTAATTAATCAAATTAGGAATGCGAATTGGAGAAGAAAAAAAAAGTACCAAGAAGAAAAACGAGAAACAAGAAAAGAGAAACAGTAATGATATATTGATGAGAGAGAGAGAGAGAGAGAGAGAGAGAGAAATTATTAATTAATTAAAAGCCAAATGGATCGAAATGAATAAAAAGATAGGTAGATGGACGAGAAAAATAAGTATATATAAAAAACGACGAATTATAAGTAAAATTATAATGAAAATTATACCAAAAAAATAAAAAATAAAAAAAGATTTATAATGTTTATATTCAATGGGAGAAAAAAACAATGTTTATTTATTTTATTTTTACTTTTTTACTTTTTTACTTTATTATCCATTTATTATTATCCATCAACGAAAAACTAAATGTAAATAAATAATTCTGTCATTCAATTCATTCAATTCAATTCAATCGTTGTGAATCGTATCATTGATATCATCTTTAAGTGTTTTTTCTCTCCATTCTGTCTGTCTGTCTGTCTGTCTATTTTGACTGAAATTATACATCATTATATCGATAGCTTGGGAATTTTTATCTTTTGATGGAGTGGGGGAGGGGGAGGGAGAAAGAATTCAAGTTTATAAATAAAAAGTGCTGCTGTTGAAAGTTCATAAGATTGCAGAATCGAGATGGGGGAAGCAAAAACAAAAACAAAAAACAAAAGTAATAAAGTCGATTTGATGATAAGAATAATGTGTTACTCACAAACACAAAAACTGTATTTATTAAGAGTTAACTCTTAACTTTTCTTAACAAGAATTGAAGAATTGAAGAATTGAAAAACAAAAAAAGACAAAAAAATTGTGAAATTCTGTTTAAATTGATATTTTTCATTTTTCATATTTGGAAAATGAAATTCTTTGTTGTTGTTGCTGAAAGATTTCTGTTTGTTTCGTTTGTTTGCTTGATTTTTGTTTTTGTTTTTGTTTTTGTTTTGGTTTTTGGATTATGATAAGAATATGACAGGATTTTGAAAGAAATTTAAGATGGAAAACAGCAGCAAAAATCTAAATTTAGTTTCATTTTAAAATTGAATTGAAACAAAATGGATTTTTGTAATCTCTGTTAATCTCAAAAGTTGTCTCAAGTAGGAGAAAGAAAAGCCAAGAATGCGATTAATGAATGCGATGATAAATTAGAAAATAAAGATGATGATGATGATTATCAATGTCTTGGTTTCAATTGATGCCAATCAAATTTTTGTAAATTCAATCATCGAATGTACTTGAAATTGGAATCAAATTGAGATTTTTCAATCTCAAAAAGATGAAATCATTGATTTTTGTTTTCAATTTTTGTTTTGTTTTGTTTGTTTTCCTGGATTCACTTTTCGGATTCACTTGAATGGAACATGATCAAAACAAAATCAATGTTCTTTGCTGTTTTCTTTGCTTTTTGTTTTTTCTTTGCTGTTTTTGTTTCTTTCAATAGTAAAAAAAAAATAAAGATCGATCGATTGATTGATTGATTATCGATATAAATAAAAATTCATTTTCATTTTTAAAATATGTTTGTTCTTCTTGTTGTTGTTAACGGTTGTTGTTGTTGTTGTTGTTGTTGCTGCTGCTGGATGAAAAATTTCATTTGAAAATTGAAAATTGAAAAACAAAAATCAATCGATTCTTGAATCGATCGATTTGTTTTCGTTATTTTTATTTGTTTTATTCTTTTCTCGAGAAAAAACTGATGAAATTTTTCATGTGTTTGGGTTGTTTCAAAGAATTCCAAGTAAAAATCGATTTTTTTCATTTCTGTTTGGTTTTGTTGATTTAAAACCGGAAAAAAGATTCCAAAATCCGAAATTTTCTAAATGTTTCTAGTTCATGAATAAAAATGGCCTTAGGTCTTGTAATGAACGAAATACGAAAAACAAACAGACGAAACAATCGATTCACTATCGATTTTTTTCTTTTGGCTGCTGCATCTTCAAAAATATCGTTTCGTTCATCACATTATCAAAATCAAAATCACTCAATCAAACAAGATAAAATTATTTTCGCCCCTGCAAAATCAAAAATGAAAAAACCAGATTTTTCCAGTGTTTTTTTTTTTGTGTTTGACCACCTAATAAACTTGGATATAATTTCTCTCTCTCTCCCCTTTGGTTTGTGAATTCATTCATTCATTTTTTTCATTTTTCGGGTATTTCGGACAAAATGAAATCAGTGAAAGAAAAAACATTCGCAAACTTTTTTGGCTAGCCAAAGTTTCTTTTTTTTTTAATTTTGCTTCAGTAGAGAAGTGGATTTTTTCTTCTTCTTTCGGTAGAATTACACGTATCAAACAACAGCAGCAATCATCAGCGACAAACTTTGTTGGCCGTAAACAAACGAAAAAGAAGAAAAAGATTAACCGACCGAACTGACTAGTTTGTTGTCGTTGTTGTTGTTGTTTTTTTTCTTGACTGTCTGATATTTAAAATGTTTGGCCTGATAATGATAATGTTTCTTCTGCACGATTACTATTTACTTTCGTTGTTGTTGTTGTTGTTGTTACTGATAATGATCATCATCATCATCATCATTGGATGTTTATTATATTTCACTTAACTTGAAAAGCAAGTTTTTTCTTTACAGTTATATTTCTCTCTCTCTCTCTCTCTTACTTACCAAAAAAAAACCACTAACTTTTCACTTATCAAATTCAATTTAATGAAACTGAAACCGAAATCGAAATGAATACGCGAGATGAAGGGGAATAAAGCGATTGGATCATTATCATTTGATCGGTCGATAATCTTGTTTTTAGGGACATCAGGATCAATAAGCATGAACGAAATGAAATAAACAAAAATCAAGAAAAGTAATAAGATGAAAAAGTAGAACAGATAAAATGTTCATCATCATCAGCAAAATATCGTTAATAATAATAAAAGTTAATCAGGTATTTCAAGTATCTCCCCCCCCACACTTACTTACAAACACACACAAGATGTATCTTTCTTACTCTCTCCTTATCGATTTTTTGTCTTGTAAAAATTGAAAAATTACTGAAAATTACAAAAATTACAAAGTTCAAAAGTTGGATGGCATTATTCAGCCATAAAGCATCCATTCACACACCCTTTCCTTTCATCAGTTTACCACACCTGTATCATCGATGATAATTTCTCTCATATTTTGTAACCGCGATAAATTCATTTCTCACCTTTTTTCTGTTCACTTGTTTTTTTTAACGAAAAAGTTTTACATTGAAAACATCCAAACACATCACACACATACACACACATCATCTTGATAATAATCAGATTTTTTTGTTATCGGAAAAAACATTTTCTTCTTCTTCTAATTCATCTTCTTTTCTCTATATAAAAAGGTCGAATCATTCAATTTCATTCAATTTTTTTGGCTAGGTAAAAACAAAACAAAAAAAATTTCTCAATTTTCTTGATTTTTCATCGATAAAGTTTCTCCAAAAACGAAACAACAAAAACAAAAATTTCAATTTCCAAATTCAAAATGAAAATCAAAATCAATCCATAATCAGCGTGTGCGTGTCAGCGTGTGTGTCTTATCATTTTGTGAATTTTGGCTTAGAAATTACAAAATTTTAATTTAATTTATTTTTTTTCCAATTACAAATCATCAAATTATAAATCAACAAATCAAAATGAACACCAAAAGCCTTATATTTATATTGGTTTGTGGTGTTAATTTTTTTATTTTATTTTCATTATTTTTTATAATATTTATTTGTACAATTTTACTGGAAATTACAATCAAATTGATCATTTTCTTCATTTTTTTTCTTTACTTTCCTTTGAATTCTTGAATATTAAAATCAATTTATTCAAATAGCTATTTGAATGCTGTTATCATTCAGTGGTTACTACCGAATCTCTTCAACAATCAATTGATGATAATGATAATGATAATAATGGAAAGTTTGGTAAATCAATATCATCAACATCGTTATCCGCACCATTATTATCATCGACGGCATTCAAACCATTGTTTACATCATCATCATTTTCATCACCATTATTATCAACATCGACTTCATCATCTTCGACACCATGGAAAGCAATACCATCATTAACAACATCAGAATCATCAACATCATACATGTCTTATACACATCCAGATGATGTGAATACAAATGATAATTTGGATTATCAACAGCAGCAACAGCAACATCAAGTTGATCCATCATCATCATCATCATCGATAATCGAAACTTCACCATCATTATCATATTCATCGAATAAAAATCATTTTGCTCAACAAAATTACAATAATAATCGTAGACCAATATTAACTGAAACTGATAATTATGAAACTACTAGTGATGGTGGTAATATCGATACTGGTATCGATAGTAATATCGATATTAAGGGTTATCAAAGATTAGCTAAAATAGTTACAATATCGAATCCATCACAGCAACAGCAATATCAGATTCGTCCATCACAACAATCGAGTTTAACTGGATTATCATCACAACAACAATCATCATATGTAGATCAATATGATCAACGGTAATTCCAAAAACGATTGTTTCTTTCAACTAATTTTACCATTCTTTTTTTCCATTTGCAGAGCTGCTCCAAGCCAATATGATTATGATGATGGATCATCATCATCATCAATGGATAATGGTGGCGGCGGTTATCATCAACAAAATTATCAATCACCTGATTATCATCAACAATCATCATCATATCATGAAGAATATCATCAACAACAACCATCACCACAACAATATCATTCTGAACCATCAGAAATTTATTATGAAGAACATGGTCATGGTCATGATGGTGGCTATGATCATCATGGTGTTGATGATTATGGTCATGGATATGATATGGAACAACCAATGTTGATTCATTCAAAAAAACCACCAACAATTAAAGATCTTTATTATAAATCTGGTTATGGTAAACGTGGTCGTCGTGGTGGTGGTAATTCTGATTATGGTGCAGCAATAACATCAACTGATTATACAACTGGACATTATATTCGACCGAAAGGTGCCCGATATCCAAAAGCACAACCAAAAACATCCGCAAGTAAAACGGTTATATTTACCGTACCACAACCATTACCGGATGATCATGAAAAATCGAAAAAATTTGAAATACCATCAATTGAACTGGCCGGTTTAAATAAATTAATGTCCAATGCTGGTGGTGGCAATGGTATTGGTGGTGAAGCTTTAAATGATATGATGAAAAATTCACCGGTAAAAATTCCCGCTATGCCCGGTATTGATTTTAATAATATTATTGGAAATCTGTTTGGTGATAAAGGACCACCAGCAATATCGGTTGCTGCACCTGAAACATTAGGAAAATTAATTGCACCATTGCTTGGACATGGAAAATTATTATCATTTAATATGCCAAATTTTGAACTTGGTCTTGGCGGTGGTCATGGTGGTGGTCATGATGATGATCATAAAGGATCTGAATCCCGTATGAAATTAGTTGGTTTTAGTATGCCGGATTTTATGAAAAATAGTCAAAAATTTTTACGTGGTGGTTTTGAAATGCCAAAAATTGATTTTTCCGGTGAACATGAAAGTGGTTTAACATTACCACATTTTGATATGCCAAAAACAGAAAGTATTGGTAAATCACCTAAAATTACGGCTATTAAACCGTTAGGACCATCAATACATTTTTTACGTCATCTAAATCTACCATTACCAAAAGTACCGAAAATGAGTTTACCCGAATTAGGACCATTTAAAAGTTTTAAAATGCCTAAATTAGATTTAACTAAAAATTTTGATATCAAAAATATTGATTTTCATTTACCATCAACCAGTCATAGTGATAGAAGTGGTAGTAATGATGGTGGTGGTATTGGTAATATTGATTTTGGTGGTATGATTAGTGGTATGGGTGGTGGTATTGGTGATATGATTAGCGGTATTGGAGGGGGTGGGGGCGGTGGTATTAGTGATATGATTAGCGGTATCGGAATTGGTGGAGGGGGCAAAGGTGGTGGTGGTGGTTTTAATCTTCATACAATGGAAGATTCACCAAAACCAATATATGTTCGTGCACCGGAAGCAATGTTAACGATGATGATGACGCAAGAATCTGAAAATGCTGCAAAAGAAATTGAAAAACCGGAATCAAAATCCACTAATAACGGTGATAATGATGATGACGATAATCAATTAAATTCAATGGAAAAACAGCAACCATCATCCACCGCATCTAAATCATCATCGAAATCACCTAAATCCACAAAATCGACAATATCAAAAGTAAAAAAAATTATAACAGCATTTCCATTGAAAAAAGGATCAAAATCAATAGGTCATATTGTTGTTGAAGATTATCCATATGGTCGGAAACAATTTGGTCCATTAGATGATGGTGGTGAATCGGAAATTGGTTGTATTGAATTAGATCAGATTATGCAATCACCATCATCACAATCATCGAACGATGATAATGATCAACAAGAACAACAATCCGAACAACAGGAACAATCAACAACCGAACCGAATCAATCAAAATCATTATTAAAAACGAAAACAACAAAAAAATTAACAAAATTATTTGGATTAAGGAAAAAAAGGCCATTCATAATGATGATGTTTAATCAGGAGTAAAATTAATTTTGGATTTTATGGATTTTTGAATTATTAACTTTTTTTTGTTTCAAAATGTTTGTTTTTCTATTCTTTTCATTATTAACTTTTTTTTTTTAAATTCTGTTCGACCAAAGAATGCTAATTCCAAAGATTTTTTACTTTTTTTTTTAAATAAATTTGTAAATAACATTGATTTTTTTTTTAAATAATTTTTTAAAAATAAAACATCAACGATTGTCAAGTGCATTGATCGAACCGAATCAATCAATCGATCGATCGATTGAGAAAAAAAAATCCATTTAAAAAAATAAGCTGTCAAATCAACACGCACACACACACACGCCTGATAAGATTTTTAACCTGGCCAAAATAAATTAATGGAAATGACGTCGGTAAGAAAAGTATTAAAAATTTGTTTTCAATGTAAATCTCGTGACCACCCGATGTATCTTTTGGATGTAGTTTAAATAGTGTCCAAATGTCAAGTGTTAAAAAGAATACAAAAAGGATATTGATCCATCAAACCATCAGCAAATCCTCAAAACAAATCCTTAATCCATTGGAAGGAATACTACTTTAGAAAAAACAAAACAGACAGGATCCTGGCCATTCAAGTGCGTATCAATATTCAATTCACAAAAAAAAATGCTGATTATGTTATGATTGTGCCAAAAAAAAAAAAAAACGAAATTGATGCTAATCACATATCATCGATTGATTTTTGATGTTTGAGAGGTTTTTTTCTTTT